TAATCTCACACAAACTTCATGTATTACACATAAATGTGCTGTAACCATGTCTCTTAGCCGGCTGGAGAAGGGTGTCTGAAAGGGTAGCCTCCATCATACTAAAAGATCCAGACTACTGAAGAGGAGTCTTAGATCTGCTGCTCCCACAGACCATGGCCTTGGGAAGTCTGAAGCTAAAGTAACTGGCCCATTTGTAAAAGAGGGAGCACACCTTAGAATATCCTATCTGGGACTACTGTGAGGGGTAGTTAACAAATTCAAGGCGTTTTGAACACACTGAAGGAGTCAGGTAGACATCAGGCATAAACTGAGTCTCAGTCACCACAGAATCACGGAATAATTTAGGTTGGGAAGGACCTCTGGAGGTCATCTAGTCCAGCTCCCCCCAGAAAGTAGGGCCAATCTCCAAGTCAGACTCAACTTCCAAGTTAGATCAGCTTGCTCAGGGTCTTAGATGCTGAGCTTGAAGTAGTATGGCTTTTGATTTTATATCCACCTTCAGATAAAGCGTTGGGGATGATTATTAAAGAGAGTAATATGCAAAATGATAGAGTACAGTTTTCAAAACCAGAAGGAATGTTTTATTAATTCCTCCTTATGTCATACAAGCCACTTTCTTCAGACTTAGAAAAATTACATTTGTTGTTCTTATGTTATTTTACAGCAAACTATCAGCCTTGCTGAGCTTTTTACAAATATGTATCAGCATCAACTCTGAGCAATGATCCAGATCTTCTAATGAGGAAGCTGCTTTTGAGCTAGTAATTTCCCCTTGGAACAACTCCTTAGATTCAAAACAAGCAGATACCATCCAAGACTATTGAGCCATGTCAATTCAGATATCTGCATCTAATGTATAATTAAGGTTAAACCCCTTCAAATGCTACTGAAAGAGCAGCCCCTGATGCTTTTCTTAAAATAAGAACACATTAGAACAGAATTGTGAGCATAAAACTAGACTCAAGTTGTTCTACTGCACTATGCTGTAGGTTAAGCTTACCTTTATGGCTTGTTCACCACTAAGTTTAAACATGTACCGAGACCCTGTTGCTCTTACTTCCTTGAGAATGTTTTGTCTTTCAAGCATTCATGGACAGTTCTTAACCAGTATAATATTCTTAAAGAAAACTGAATGTTGCGTGAACACATATACAGGTTAAGTAACAAAGCCATATACCCCCATTCACCAGAATGAATACAGTTAATCAACATGAAACCATTCAAACGTATTGTTATATAGGCTGTTTTCACAATAAACTGAAATGCTGCAAAGAAGCCGCTGTTTCCTATGAATAGCATACACATGTATTGAAAGCAAAATACACGATGTTTACCTGCAGAACAGATTCTATGGAACCATACATGTCTTCCACGTCATATTTGTGTATCTTTGATTTAAAGAACTATAATGGCTGCAGTCTATTGCACAAATTCAAATTTACTGTTATTAATTCTGCAGGAAGAAGGCGACTACCTGTCCAGGCACAGACAAACCAGGCAGTTGCACATCAGATGCATTTAATTTTAGGCGGATGCTGTGACAGAAATAAATATTCATACATAACTCTTAACTCTTGATAAATCTGTAAATGAACCATCACAAGTGACACATAATCCACTTCAAATGAGGTCCGAAAAAAAATTTTTTTTAAAGACACCAAAGGAACACTCCAAACCCTGTAAGTTTTTTTTTCAGTTTAGCACATGAGTTTAAAATACAGCTGACTTAAAGACAACTTGTGCATTAGCCAAGTTAAGCTTTGATCATAGAAAATAATTTTATGCCCAGACAGCTGGTGAAACTGTAAAGCAGCATTGCTGGATCTCAGGATTTTATCATGAAGCCTTCCATACTGGCAACTTTGTTAGTTTTTCAGCTCCTGAAGTTGCTATTAGTGGGAATTTTAGAATTTCATCAAGGGATGAGGGAGATGAGGGATATGCAAGAATACCTTCGTAGCTCCTGCAATTACAGGAAAAAAACTGAACAGGTGATTTACATAGACTCTAAAGACTAAAAAAGAAGAAAAGCAAATTAAGATGAGGTATTTTATAATCTTCAGGTTTCTAAAAATTAATCTGACTCACTACTTTACATACTTGAACCATCAATATTGTGAAGTACTTACACAACTTTCAAAGCAGTATGAGAGCAAAGGATTGCTTGCAAGCTATACAAAAAGCCCTCAAAACAGTGAATGAATGCAGGAACACACACACTAAGCACTAGCAACGCTCAAGGAAAACTGAGGGATTATTTCCTGCTGTAACAGCCAATGTAATCACGCTCTGTACATTTCCTTCTGCTCTCCACTAAGTTGCCCTTTTGATAGCAGTCAGGGGTCCTACATCTAATTACAACAAAGGTTTTTAATTAAACCTCGAATATGCTTTAACAGCTTCTGGCATGAGCTTGCCCTTGATGGTGCCACTTGAGGTGCTCTCCTTCAAGGGATGATGAAGTAAATCTCTTAAAACCATGGGTGAAGATGCCTTTTTCCTGTGCGTACTACTGCTTTTCACAGCTAGCTAGCTACAAAGCTGCTTGCAACGGTATCAAGCCAAAAGAGCTTTCCCTGTGGGAGCTCTCCCTGTGGGAGCTCTCCACTATCTCCAAAATATACTGCTTGCTAGATTCTTGAGGTAGGAGGAAAGCACACTGAAAATATTAAGGCAAGCACACAAAATGGTCTAAAAATTAGCCCAATCCAACTTGGTGAACTTACTGGGAGCATTCCTAGTGACTTTAAGGGGAATTGTAACACACTAGCAGAAGGCAAAGGCAGAACAGTACAGTTTCTCATATTTCAGGTCTCCTCAGAGTGCAGCATTGTGTGCCAAACATGAGGAAAGCGAAGGGTTTATTCCAGTCACCTCAAATAAAACAATCATTCACTTCTTCCCCAGTAGCTTGTGAAACCTGGCTCCACTAGACTGGAAAGTATCCGAGGAAAATGAGTAAAGCTCATTCAAGGAACTTGAATAAAACTGAACAGGCAGGAATTTTTGCACAGGATAGAAGAAAGCACCAGGAGAGGACAAATTTTCAACACACAGCATCTGACAAAACTACATTTCATTCCCGTCCATCCTCACCCATTCATCTTCCACCTTCTCATAAACAGGCAGGTGACCAATAAAGCAACGAGAGAGATTCGTGTCCTTTTATGCTATTCCATAAGCTGCCCTGCTTTTCTTAATGTTCCACTGTGTGTGTGTGTACACACGCATGCGTGGTGGGGAGATGGATCGAGGGGGGAGCCCAATAAAGTGTGTGTGGAGACGGGGCGGGGGGGGGGATCTGAAGCAGGTTCTCATTCAAGCCATCTGAAAAGTCTTTCTGCAGTCAAGGGGATACTATTTCAGGAGACAGGGAGAAGGGGCAAAGGATTCACGTTGCTAAGGAGACACGTACAAGCTGACATTCCTACATAAATTTCCATTTATACTGGGGAAGGAAAAGAAAGCTCTCCGAAGTTTGTGTAGATACCCTGGTAACTGATTGAAACCGACATTTCTTTACAATTGGTTTTGGCATCATATGATTCAAAACAAAACCCCAAACGACATTTGAACCCTCAAATATTACTCCACACAACGACAGAAAAAAAAACAAGCCCAGCAGCAAAGGAACCTGTGCAATTTCTACTCAAGCAGAGATCAGTTATTTCCCAGAACCTATACAAGGATTTCAGAGAAGCAAGGAAAAAGGAAAGCATCTAGAATATACAGTCAGCCCCTTGCCTTCTTTCCCATAACAAACATCTTGTGCCTGTACGATTTACCCAGCCGGAGAGCCCAGTGATCCAAATGGATGATTTAGCAATGCAAGCGTGTGTGTGGGGAAAACAGGGACAGGGAAGAAAACAGGGAGGGAGGGGGAGAAACAGGCTGGCTTCATTTTTCAGTGTTTCTGTTGGGACTCCAGAAGTTGCTATCAGGCATAAAGTAAATAAAACAACCCGTGAAAACCGAAACAATTGTGGTACTACAAAAGAATTTACTGAAAAATATTCAACAGGCAGCTTGTTTATATCACTCACAACCCGCTTTTTAAGTACTCCAAGCAATAGTGAAATGACATTTAAAAAAAAATAAAAAAATATATGACCAAAGACCTAGAAAGCTGAAGAACGAATGAGCATCAAGAAATCAAAGCAGGGAGTGTGGCAAGAAGGCAAAGGAGTACCGAAGACGATGGGAAGCTCAGTACCTGCTAGAGAAAGACACACACAAGCACAGGCAGGGGGATGGAGAGTCCAGGCATCCCCACTCGGGACAAAATAACACTCGGTTTGGGTTTAGGAAGCCCCAACTTTTCAAGACTAGTGACTTCGGGGGATGGGGACGCGCTGGGGAGGGTGCGGGGGGGTGCGATTATAGGATACTTGATCCCCAACAGCTTCTCACTCTATGAGAGCTGCCGCCACACGGAAAAATAACCGAAACTAGTCCAAACTCGGGATCTTTTTGTGAAAGCACCGTCAAAGGCGGACCCGAAACCAGCCGCCCCTCTGGCTCACAGAAGCCAACCTCACACACCTCTCCCGCACCCTCGGCGATCTCGCAGGCAGAGGGACGAGCCCAGCACGGACCCTCCGTGTCCGTGTGTCCCCCCTCCCGGCCCCCAGCAGGGGCTATTCACGGCCACAGACCCCCGATGGGGACGGACGAAGCGGCTCGGAGGGCGGGAGGACAAAGGTACCGGGGACTTTTCCCGGTGGCCGGAGCGGGGAGTAGGGGCGGCAGCGGGCGAGGAGGGGAGACCGGGCACGGCTCCGGTGCGGGGAAGGGGGGGACTGGGACACAGTCCCGGAGGAGGGTGAAGGGGAGGCGGCTGGGGGGGGCACCCAGGGCACTGGGGGGGGGTTAAGTCTCAGTGCCCGGGGTGCGGCCGAGGTGGTGGTGGGGGGATAAGGCAGCAAGGGGCGAAGGAGGGACGGGGCAGGGGCGGAGGGGAGCGAAGCCGGGGACACACACACACGACGCCCGTATCTCACCGCTGTGCAGCGTCGACTCGCAGAGCCAGCTGTCCAAGTTGCCGGGCTTGCGGCAGGACTCCCAGAGGGACAGGTAGTACTGGTGGTCCGCCGTCACCCAGGCGGGGCTCAGCACGGCTCCCAGGTCCAGGCACAACGCCAGGAAGATGCACACCAGCCCCACCAGCTTCAGCGGGGTCAGCACCGAGACGCGCACCTCCTCCATGCCGCTGCCGGCCGAAGCCATGGGGCCCGGGGGGGAGGAAGGAGGAGGAGAAGGACGACGCGCTGCCGCCGGCCCCGAGGGGAACAGGAGCGAGAGCCCAGCTCCGCGCAGAAGGGGCGGGAGGAGGGAGAAGCAGCGAGACCAGCGCTGACTAACGGCGGGGAGAGGCTTTCGCAGGCGGCGGGCAGCGCCGCTCCCTCCTCCTCCTCCTCCTCCTCCTCCTCCTCCTCCCTCGCCGCGCTCCCGCCCCGGTGTATCAGGTGCAGCAGCTCCCCCTAGTCCCCCCGCCGTCGCCCGGTCCGGTCCGTCCCGAC